ATTGGAGCCACTCCTGGAGCCTTCTGAGGCCTCCTGCTCCTGTAGCCTCTTGGGGCCTCCTGGACCCTCGTGGGGCCTCCCAGGGCCTCCTGGAACCTCCTGGGGCCTCCTGGGGCCTCCTGTTGAACCCTGATACCTCCTGGTACCTCCTGTGGCCTCCTGGAGCCTCCTGGGGTCTCCTGGGGATGATTCGTGCCCCACGAGAAGCCCAATATATACGGAGTGGAGCCGCAGGAGAAGGGCAATATATAGGAGCACACGCAAAACACCACGGACTCGTGCACATATGGGAGGCCCAATATGTATAACATACGCCAAACACTTATGATTGGATACGCAGGAGAAGGACAGTCTATAGAAACATACGTAACACACCAAGGATTCGTGGTCAAGAGGAGGCCCCATCTAGAGGGGCATACGTACAACACATGGGATTGGAGCCACTCCTGTAGCCTTCTGAGGCCTCCTGCTCCTGGGGCCTCTTGGGGCCTCCTGGTGCCTTCCGGGGCCTCCTGGTGCCTCCTGGTGTTTCCTGTGGCCTCCTGGAGCCTCCTGTGGCTTCCTGTGGCCTCCTGGGGCATCCTGGAGCCTCCTGAGGCCTTCTGGAGCTTCCTGGTGCCTCCAGGAGCCTCTTGGAGCATCCTGTGGCCTCTTGAATCTTCCTGTGGCCTCCTGATGCCTCCTGGGACCTCCTGTTGCCTCCTGGGGCCTCCTGGAGCCTGCTGGAGCCTCCTGTGGCATCCTGTGAAGGATCCGTGCCCACGAGTCTGGCCATCAAAACAGGCAAACCGATCGAGACATCCTCAAATTCTGGCCCCACCTGGGGGCGAACATGAGCGACTCGCTCGAGACATCCTCCAAATCTGCTCTGAAAGCGGAGGATGTTGGGGCAGCAAACAGGCAAACCGCTCGTGACATTCCCTTCATTTTGCCGCGCACGGAGGAATGCAATACAACCCCTGGCGGCTCCCCCTTGTGGGTGCTGAAGCCCGCGCCTCGCTCGAGACATCCTCAGAATTTGCTCCGCCATCATCATCATCATCATCATCATCATCATCATCATCATCATCATCATCATCATCATCATCATCATCATCATCATCATCATCGTCATCATCATCATCATCATCATCGTCGTCGTCGTCGTCGTCGTCGTCGTCGTCGTCGTCGTCGTCGTCGTCGTCGTCGTCGTCATCGTTGTCGTCGTCGTCGTCGTCATCAACATCCTCATCATAATCATATTCATCATCAGCATAATCATCATCATCAGCATCATCATCATCATCACCATCATCATCATCATCATCGTCATCACCATCAGCATCATCATCATCATCATCAGCATCATCATCCTCACCATCGCATCGCATATCACAACATAGCACAACATAACATAACATACCATGACACAGCATCACAGCATCACATTGCATAGCATAACATAGCATAACATAACATAAAATAGCAGTATACACCATGTCATAGCATAGAAATGTACAACATAACATGCCATAGCATACCGTACTATGTTATGACCAAGTTCCTCACATGATGTTGCATATATTACATATCATAACATAGCATGACATGCCATGACGAAACATACCATATTATAGCGTGCCGTACCAGAGCATGCCATGCCAGACAGAATCATAACATCACACAGCATAACATAGCAGTACATAACATAACTAACATAGCATAGTATCACATAATATAACATAGGGTTACGACCATAACACAACATAGCATAACATCGCATGAGGAGGAGGATGAAAGAGAAGGAGTCGGCGCGGTGGGAGTAAGAACAAAAACCCTATCCTCTGGATATGGGGAACAGGATACTCTTCCTGTGGATAGGGGGAACACGAACCCAGTCTTTTGGATATAGGGAACACCAACAACGACAACAACAAAAACAGCAACAACAATCACAACAACAACAACAGCAGCAGCGCCACCACCACCACTACCACCAACCTCAGCACCAACACCAATAACAACAACAACAACAACAACAACAACCAACAACAACAACAACAACAACAACAACAACAACAACAACAACAACAACAACAATTACTAGCACGTGGGGACACTCCGTTCTCACCAGTGCCAGGGTTTTCATAGGAGGCGGGCAATACCCCCACTTTGTGGGGGGGCCGGTTCAAGCTCTACCAAATTTCCAAACGACTCTTCGCCACCACCCACACCCAGCTTCCCGCCCTATGACGTTCGGACACTTCACTTCGTGGCATGCGGACGACCGTGGCTACTATTCAGGGCCCCGCGGCCGACGACGACGGCGTGCGCGCGCGAAGAAAAAACGAATGTGTCCCGCATGGTATTATTTGACAGGGATGATGGCCCTGGCAGGTGCGCAACCGTTGTTGCAGAAGTTCGAAAAAGTTGCTCGCAAAAGCCCGTTTGACAGAAATGTTTAAAAAGTGTTGGGTTTCCTACGAATCCGCAAGAGCGCGCGGGATGATATTTTGACATTTAATATAAAAAAAAAAAAAAAAAAAAAAAAACATTGGTTTTTTGATGTTTTTATGTTAAAATCGCTACGAAAACTAAGGTTTTGGAAGGATTTCGTCTTGCGCGCGCGAATGTCCACTTTACCTTATTTTTTGCAAGGGATTCTTGAAGTTTGGTTATTTACCTTATTTTTTGCAAGGGAAAAAACAACAAAACAACCGGATCCGGATCCCCCGTTTTGCCTGAGACTTCCTCACGAAAATGATGAAAATGTGGCTGCGGCCTAGGCGCGGCGGGGGGGCCATGCACCAGGGGTCCCAACAATAATTATTCTTTAGAAGTAATAATGTTCAACAACAACAGCAACAGCAACAGCAACAGCAACAGCAACAGCAACAACAACCACTATAATAACACCACAACAACAACGGCATCATCATCATCAGCAGCAGCATCATCATCAGCTTCATCAGCGTCATCAGCTTCATCATCATCAGCAGCATCATCGTCGTCATCGTCATCGTCACCAGCATCAGTATCATCATCATCACCACCATCAGCCGTCACGCTCCGTCGTTATCGTAATCACCATCAGCATCATCATCGTCATCGTCGTTATCCTCATCCTCCTCCTGATCATCACCATCATCATCATCACCATCATCATCATCATCATCATCATCATCGACATCAGCGTGTGACTCATCCTCACCATCCTTCTCCTCATCCTCTTCCTCTTCATCATCATCAGCATCAGCATCATCAGCAGCAGCATCATCATCGTCAGCGTCATGTCTCTCATAATCCTCATCGGCATCATCATCGACGTCGTCGTCGCCGTCGTCGTTGTCATCATCCTCATCCTCCTCATGGTCGTCGCCGCCGTCAGCATAATCAGCATCATCATCACCACCACCACCACCACAATCCTTGATATTCCTCTTCCTGCCTCTGCGCCCCTGCCCCCTCATCATACCCTCCCCCCTCTCGCCTCATGTTCTTCTCCGTCTCGTTGTCTTTCCCCTTTCCCTCCAACTCCTTCCCTATTCCTCCTCCTTCTCCTCCTCCTCCTACTCCTACTCCAACTCCTGCTCCTCTCTCTCTCTCTCTCTCTCTCTCCTGGCTAGTTATACATGGCAGTTCTGAGCTGTCTTGGGGCTGTCTTGGAAGCCCCCATGGGTCGTCTGAGGTGACCTCTTGTGGATTACCTTAGAGCCACTTGGCGTCCCTACGAGCTGGGAGCCCTCTTGGGCCATTTTCGGGGCACTTGGGCCTCGTCGGGTGCCTCTGGGGGCCGTCTTGAAAAACTATTGGCCTATTGGGGAGCCATACTGTGTCGTGTTTCACCCCTTCCGGGAACCCCTGGGGCTGTCTTGGAGCACATGGCTCTCCTGGATCGTGTCGGTTGCCTCTTGGCGCCTCTTGGGTTCGTCTTGGCCCCATCTGGGGCAGCCATGTGGAGACCGAAAGGCTGCAATCCGCGTGGCTTGGAGCTGAAATCAGCCGTCCAGGCTGCCAGGCCTCTCCTGGATGCCTGTCCTGCGCGTCTGGGGGCCTCTCGGATGACCTCAGAAGCCCCATGGGCTACGCTGGCGGCCGCCCTTGGGCCTCCCGTCGATGTCTGCGGCCGTCATGGACGCGCGTCCAGGAGGCCCAGCAGGGGCGTCCCGGAGCTAACGGCGCACAGGAGGCTCAGGGTGGTCGGAATGCGCCAAGGGGGGAAGGCCAGGCCCCCTCGCATTGCATCGGAATCGGGGGGAGAGAGCGAAGTGACCTCGACCAGAAAATCGTCTCGGCTTCGGCTCGTGCCGTGGGTGCAGGCGACGGGAACTGCGCGAGGGCGACAATGTGTCGAGGCAGCGAGGCTCAAGCCCGACAAGGAAACCTGCACCGGCTGGGCGGTGGCCAGCCGTGCTTGTCCCACAGGTGTCCCGTGATTATCCCGCGGTTGTCCCGTGGGTTGTCCTGCGTTTGTCCCGTGGGTTGCTGTCTCGTGGTTGTCGCGTTTGTTCCATGGTTCGTCCTATGATTGTCCTGTGGTTGGTTGTCCCACGGGATGTCCCGCGGGTTGTCTTGTGGATTGTCCCGTGGGAGATGCAAATCTATTGTAAATCTAACTGCAACCAGAATGCAAGTCGAAATGCAAGCCCGCTCGCAAACATGAATCTTCGCCGATCCCTTGAGGCGACTCGGCGCGTAAGATCCTTGCTCCCCGCCAAGACCCATCCCCTGGGAGCCGGGTCTAGCCGATCTTGAGGGGGTGTCAAAAGCGCAGGCGGATTACTCTGGTTCAGAAAAGAGCCCGCGCGCGCACCAGAATTGTCCCTGATGGCACTCAAACGGCCGAAGATGGCCAGCAGATGGCCCAATATGGCCTCGAGTCGGCCCAAGATGGCTTCAAGCGGACCCAAGAGGCAATCAGGACCCTGCCAGGAGATGCAGCCGATCCTCGAGGTCGGCAATACGTGGCACGCTCCGGCGCTCCGAGCGCCTGCAACACCCGGGGGGCGGGGGGCACCGGCCTCCGAGACGGCGACCCTGTTGTAGCTGCCTCCGCCGTGCGCGATCGTAACCTCCGCGCCCATCCCCGGCGCGGAGGGCGGGGCGAGGAGAGCCCTCGGCGCTCCTCGGCGTCGCACAGGAGGCGGCACGAAGGGGCGCCGGCCTCCCAGGAAGGCAGGGGAGGGGCCTGTCGGATGGGCCGAGGAGGCTCCCGAGGATGCTTCTCGGAAGGCAGGAGGGCTTCGGAGGATCAGAGGTTAACGATCAAATCCTGTCGGGATGGCCCGCGAGAGGCAGGACCCGGAGAGCGCCCCCACTCGCCGCGCGGGCCCCCCACGAGGGCCCAGGAGGGCCCCAAGACGGCCCAAAAGGGCCTCCAGACGACGACGACGATGACCACCACCACCACCACCACCACCACGACGACGACGACGACGCAGACGGCGGCGGCGGCGGCCAGCTGAGGGCCTGGGGGCGCGCGCGTGCGCGCGGCGTCCGCCCGCGCGGCACCTCCCGGGCAGACGCCGACTTCGTTCCCTTGTTGAAGTAGAAGACAGCCAGCAAGAACGTCACCGCATACCTGCGGACGACTTCGACGACCTGGAGGAGAGGGAGAGGAGGAGCTCGAGGAGCTCCCTTCCCGCGGGCCTGGCGGCGGGGGGGGGGGAGCGAGACCGCGCCCGAGACCGATCTGCGGGGGCCATCCCCGGACGGCCCCCGCGCCCTCCAGGGGGCCTGGCCGTGCGCAGGCCCCTCCCCCGCAGGGCCCCCGAGGTCGGCTGCGCCCGTGCCGAAGATCGACAACCCAAGACTTCGGTCGGGCCTGTCCCCCTAGAGGGGGTCTTTGGGCGAAAAACCTAAAACAGTCCAAACAGACTCCCAAAATGGTAAAAAATAGTCAAAGAATAGTCCCCCGACTATGTTTAAATTATCTTTGAATATTCCTCCTGTAGAGGGACACGCCCGACTGAACCCAAGACCAAGGGTCGGAGATCGGGGACCAAAAATCGGGAGCGAGGCTTGGGAGGGTTCACGCTGCTCCAGGTCTCCTCGCCGTAGCAGGGCCAGAAAAAGCACGAAAATCGCTCAGGGCATCCTCCCACAACAACACTGTGGCTCCGACATCTCAGACAACTCCGACACTACCAATCGCAGACGACGGCTCCGATTCCGACAACGACGACGACGACGACGACGACGACGACGACGACGACGACGAAGATGACGGACCACTACCCCGAGGACGACGAGGACGACGACGACGACGACGACGACGACGACGACGACGACGACGACGACGACGACGACGACGACGACGACGACGACGACGACGACGGCGGCGGCGGCGGCGGCGGCGGCGGCGGCGGCGGCGGCCCAAGACGGCCCAGAGAGGCCAATCAGACGACCTCCACAGGCGCCAGACGGCCCAAGAGTGCCTGAAGACACTCCAAGAGCCCCAAGAAGGCCCGAGAGGCTCCCAGGAGGCCCACAAGACAGCCCCGCGACGGCCTCAGAGGACCTCTCCTTGGTGTCTCCTGCTTTGTTTCCCCATTAGCTGGGGAAGTATGCAGTCCACTGGCGCGGGCGCACTTTCGCTGGATATTTAGCGGCACAGGCGCTTTGGAAAGCCAGGGACGACGGTGACTCGCCGCAAACGTTTTCGATGATCGGCATGACTATGTGACTTGCCAGTGAGCATGGCGCAACACACTAGATCTGGGTTTGCACCTTAGAGAGCACCCGAGGCCGCAGGCGGCGAAATATTGAAATCGGATCCAACTAGTGATGATCGTCAGTATGTTTGCTGGCACCCAGCAGCTGTGGCAAACAAATTTGGTGCCGCTCGAGCCCTCACGGGCCTCAAAGTACACCGAGACCAAGAAGATCAGCCTGCGCCCTGGCGACTCCAAGATCGCGGCCGCTACCCTGCTACTGGTAACGCATGGGCGGGTGCTGGTTGAGATCCATGTTTAGCCAGCTTCTGGCCAGAATACAACGGCCGTTTGCGGGGCAATGTGCACCAATGAAATCGCAACCCGCGAAAACTGCATTCCCATCACGATTGTGGCTTCACTCGACTATTGGTGTCGGCATACCTACCCAAACGTGTACACATAGTGCTTCTTAGCGCCTTACCAGGTATGACACGTGTGTCGTCCATCTCCGATTTTGACTCAGTTTCTGCACTAAGCTCTAACAGCTGACGTTCCTGATGTCAGCACTGACAGTGAGACCGACCAGGTCGTCCTATTGCCGTGCCCGTCCTCGGACTTGCCCGCGGCCGTGGCGGCCTGTGAGGAGAGCGCCGCGCGAGCCTTCGTTGCCTCCTCGTCCGACGCATGCTGCCGGATGACCCACAGAGCCTGGGCCAGCATGCCGGGGGCCACCTGGCTTCGCGCATCGCGCCCAGCGCGCGGACACCTTCGCGCCCTCGGGCCGCCGCGCTGGAGAAGGGCACGCTTGCGGCTCAGGCCGCGATGCGCGAAACTCGATTATCGTCGCACCCACCCCCGGGTGGCATGGGTGTCCTGTTGGCGGCGGTTACGCCACGAATGCTGTACGCAGACACCCGCCGACGAGTGTTAACTGTGCCAAGCACGAAGTTTTGTGGGCGGAGCGGTGTCCCTCTTCACGGCGATTCCTGCACTGGGCGGAGCTGCTGCAGCTGCCGGGCTGGACGCCCGCTTCTCCTCCTTCCCTCTCCGACATGCGTGGTTGGATGCCCTCCTTAAGAGCCCGCCTGCCCTGCCTGAGCTGCTGCAAGCGCCTGCTGGCGCTGGACTGCTGCCTCGCAGCTGGGGCCCTCCAGCTCTCTCTCGTGCGCTTTCCAGAGCTGGGAGAGGTTCTGGAAGTCGGCTGAGGGGCATCGATCGGGCTGGACTGGCTCAAGGGGGGGTAAGGACAAAATCTGGTGCTAGTTAACGATGTGTTGTTTTTTTGTCGGTGTGTTTCTTTTGATTTCTTTTGTTTCGCTTGCAAATCTATACTGCTTGTCTTGCGATAGCACTGGGTGGTGAGGATGCCTTCTGTTGCGGATAACATATTGCTTCGTTTTTGCGGCGAATTGCAACTTGATTCTTTTTGTAGAGGATTACACATTAATTCCTGTTGCGGCGGATTACACATTGATCCCCTCCTGTGGCGGATTACAAGCTGATTCCTTTTTTTGGCGGGTTACAACTTGATTCATTTTGTAGAGAATTACACCTTTTTGTGGAGGATGCCAATGGGTTTATTTTGTGGAGGACTCCAATAGGATTCCTTGCGTGGAAGGTTACAATTGGGATCCTTCTGCAACGAATTACACATTGATTCGTTTTGTAGGAGGCCCAGCTGGTAGCGACCCAGGGCCCACAAGACAAAAACAAAAAACAAAAAAAGCGTGGAAACATTGAAAATGGTGGAAAGTATACGACTCTCAATCGTTTCTTTAAGTTTGAAACCAAAACTATATGAAACTACATTATTTTCCAGCATCTGAAAGCCCAAGCCAAATAAAAACGCAGCTCTTTGGAGACCTGATGCATGAAAATGCTATGTGTTTATGAGGCTTGGGCTCCCAGGAGACGGAACATGTTGTGTTTTCAAATATTTGTCGTCTCAAACCTTACGATTGAGAGTCGCACAATTCCCCTAATGTTCAATGACGTCGATGTTTGTCTTTTCTTTTGGGCCGTGGGTCACTACCAGCTGGGCCTCCTACAAAAGGAACCAATGTGTAGTTGGTTACGAGAGGAACCCAATTGTAATCCCCACACAAGAAATCCTATTGTAATCCTCCACCAAAAAGGAATCCATGTGTAATCCTCCACAGAAGGAAATCTTATGGTAATCCTCCACAAAAGGAATCAATTTGCAATCCGCCACAAAACGGATCCATGTGCAATCCGCCACAAAGGAAACCTATTGTAATCCGCAACAACAATGAACACCAATGTAATCCTCCACAAAAGGAACCCTATGGTAGTCCTCCACAAAGGGAATCCTAGTGCAATTAATTTCTGCACAAAAGAAATCCATTTGATACCTGCTACAAAAGGAGACCTTTGATACGGAAACGAAGAGGAGCTTTTGGGGAGATGAGAGGGAGGCAAGAGAGAGATTAGAGGGATCCCAAACGAAGCCAAGAGCAAGCCAAATTAGAGCCACGACGGAGCCAAGAGAGAGCCAAGAGGAAGCCAAAAGAGAGAGCCAAGAGGGAGCCAAAAGGAAGCCAAGAGGAGCTTTCTGAAGATTTTGAAACCAATAACGAAAAAAATATTAATGCTTACCGCTGCCCACGAGGGCTTCTTGAGACTATGAAAAGGGGGTAATTGTGTGCATTTGTTTGCAAATATCTGGGGGCCAGAGCACACAAATATGAGCTCCCGGGTCGTTTAGCGCAGAACATCGTTGTTGCATATGTAAATTGTAATAACACCTTTTAGCATTTTTCGAGGTATGCGTTTGCCAACAAATCTGGGGGGCCGTTTGTGGGTGCCTTGGGGTGCATAACGGGTGCTTTGCGGGTGCCTTGGCCATGGTATTGTTGGGCCGCTTGAAGCAAGTTGTTTTCGTAGTCGCACATTTCAATAGCACGTGCAGCATTGTTCGATCTGGTATTTTTCCCTACCTAGGCTCTGCCAAGAAGGGTTCTTACTCTCTTAGCTCAAAGGGGCCGGGCAGTGCTACACGCCCCGGGCGGTTCCCCCAGTCCCCTGGGAGCGGTTCCCCCCAGTCCCCTGGGAGCTTTAGCTTTAGCTTTAGCTTTAGCTTTAGCTTTAGCTTTAGCTTTAGCCTTAGCTTAGCTTTAGCTTAGCTTTAGCTTAGCTGTAGCTTAGCTTTAGCTTAGCGTTTCGCTTAGCTTTTCGCTTAGCGTTTAGCTTAGCTTTAGCTTAGCTGTAGCTTAGCTGTAGCTTAGCTGTAGCTTAGCTTTAGCTTAGCTTTAGCTTAGCTTAGCTTTAGCTTAGCTTTAGCTTAGCTTAGCTTAGCTTTAGCTTAGCTTTAGCTTAGCTTTAGCTCAGCTTTAGCTCAGCTTTAGCTCAGCTTTAGCTTAGCTTTAGCTTAGCTTTAGTTTAGCTTTAGCTTAGCTTTAGCTTAGCTTTAGCTTAGCTTTAGCTTAGCTGTGGCTTAGCTTTAGCTTAGCTTTAGCTTAGCTTAGCTTAGCTTTAGCTTAGCGTTACTGTTACTACTAATGCTGCTTTCCTAGGGGTTCCAACTCCCAGGTAGGGTCGCACTGGGATAATTTCTTGCAATTTGGTGTGGACGATTTGCGGGTGCCGTTTGGGTACCTTTTGGGTGCTTTTCGGGTGCCTGACGGATGCTTTTCGGGTGCCTTGGCAATGAAATCCATAGGTATCTTGGGCAAAGTGTTATTTTTTGCAGTCGCACATTTCAATAGCACATGTAGCGCTTTTCGATGATATACTTGTTCCTGGAATTTGGTGTGGGCCATGTGCGGGTGCCTTTGTGGTGTCTTTCGGATGCTTTGTGGGTGCCTTGAAGGGTACCTTCCGGGTCATTTCTCGGGTGCCCTTACACAGGGGTCCCTGAGTCCCCTGGCGCAAGCAAAACGTTTCAGCATGTATATTCTCGATCCGCACATTCACACTCTGTTGGACAATTTGTTTTTGTTGATTTTGTAGGGGCGGTTTGCGGATGCCTTCCAGGTGCCGTTACAGACTTCCTTGGGTGCCTTCAAAATGAATTTCTTGCACCGTTTAACACCGATTATCGGTCTGGCGTTTTACATTTCAGTTGTACATACATAAAGATATGTTCGGGCCTCTGGGAGGCCTCGCGAGGCCATGGTTGGACCCGATAATGAACGGCAGGAGGAGCAGCAGAGGGAGAAGGGGGAGGAAGAGGGAGGAAGAGGGAGGAGGGAGGAGGAGGAGGAGGAGGACGCGGAGGAAGAGGAGGGAGGAGAAAGGATGTGAGGACAGAGAAGGGGGGTGAGCACGACGGCGACGACGACGCTCTGGAAAGGCTGGCCTGGCATCCTGAACGCGTAAGTTCATACTGGTTGTCGTTGTGTATGAAAAAACCCTCCCTCAATCAGATCACACGCGCGCTTTCGAGCATCAAAAACCATGAGAAACCATCGTCGTTAAATTGATCAATGTTTGAGTCCACAGTTAAGGGGGGGCGTCGGCATGGAATTGGCGATGCATCGCCGACTACTCGGCGATAGACCCTCGACAGCGAAACTGCACGGCCCTGAGCGGGGTGGGCTATCGCGGCCTGCCTGGGGGCTGGGAGCTCTTCGGCGGCGTGGTCTGGTTCACAGCGCACAGCTCCAGGCTGGCGCTGTTCTGGACGCCCACGAATGCGTTTGGCTCCGCCCTGATGCTTGCAGTTTCACCAACGCGTAAATCATTCAGGCTTCGGCTGAGATCCCAGATCATCTCGCAATCCGCCTCGACATATGAACTCGCCTGCACACTTGTTGCAGCGCTTCTTGAGGGAATCAGAAAGTGCCCACCCCGAGCGTGACGGCGCTAGTCATTCCAAGTTGGCGCCATGCTGGCCTGAGCACAAGACGTCCTGCAAAAAACAAGAAGTGCACAAGAGTCCTGGCAGATTATCAGAGAGGAAAATAATAGCGTGGGACTGCGGGTTTCCAGGACGACCATCTTGGCTGCTCCGCTCCTCCCCAGGGCCCGAAGAGGAGGACGAGGAGGAAAAGAGCGAGGAGGACGAGGAGGACGAGGACTAGGAGGAAGGAGGGAGGAGGAGGAGGAGGAGGAGGAGGGGAGGGAGGGAGGGAGGGAGAGAGAGCGGGCAAAGAGGACAAGATGAGGAGGAGAAGGAAGAGGAGGAGAGGAAGAAAGGATAAGAGGAGGAGAGAAGGAGAGGAGGAGGAGGAGGAGGAGAAGGAGGAGGAGGGGGAAGAGGATGGTGGGGAAGAGGGAAAGGAGAACAAGAGGGAAGAGGAGAAGGTGCGCAACCCACTGAGGGAGGGGGAGTCGGAAGTCCACGTCGGGAGGAGGAGGAGACCATGAGCAGGAGAGGAGGAGGCGGAGGTGGAGAAGGAGGAGGAAAAGAGGAGGAGGAAGAAAAGAGGAGGAGGAGGAGGAAAAGAGGAGGAGGAGGAAAAGAGGAGAGCAGAGAGGAGAAGAAGGAGGAGGAGGAGGAGGTATTTTGAAGTTCCGTGCTCACGTGAGCACGGAACTTCAAAATACCTCCTCCTGGGAGCTCACCCACCTCCTCCTGGGAGCTCCTCCTTCACACCAGTGAGCTCACTGGTGTGAGCGCAGGCGTGCGGCCGCGCACCTCCCCTGGGAGCTCACCAACGAGCTCCTCGACCCAATCGGAATCATTCCCGTGCTGTTCGGTCTCCGCTGTGCCCCACGCTCCCCAGGCCCCCGTCGTGCCGTTTCCCCCATCTGTTCTGGGACCCCAGGATCTGCGACGGCCAACGGGGGGGAGCATTCCGTACCCCAGCGAACAGCACGGCTGCTTCGGCCTCCGAGGCGGCAACTGGCCGCCTCCGCGAGGCATTGTTCTGTCCTGGGCCCCTGGGCCTGCAACGGCCAGCG